AATATGATAAAGTATTCGTTTGAGTTTCATGGACCGTTATCAATTTGCTTTGCTTCTTTTTCGAGCTCGGTGTCTGTCACCTTCACACTACTGAATATCTCTTCATCTGACATTTGATGACCATTTGACCCTAATTAATGCTAGCTAATCATTTAAATTTTATGTGAATTACAATTGATGTGACCTAAGGGAAGAAGTCGAAGAAAATTATATGATTTATTTTTGAAGGCTTGATTTTCAGGTAGAAGAAATAAACTTGAATACGTCGATAGGAAATCGGCTCAAATGTTTGCATTCCCACACGTGAAATTCCGGTTGAACTCCACTGGTAACGGCTTCTCACTAGAATTCGAGGAAATGACTCTTGAAGATCCTGGGTTCTAATCTCGTGAGGGGGTCGTGGATGCGCACTGCTCAGGAGTCCGAAACTATTGAACGTATCCTTTTTTATTTCGGACAAAAGTATGTGGTAAACGTCGCAGTTACCGCAAGTAGAGGTTTACAACAAATTTTTGTATATTATTCAATAAAGAACCGCTGATTTACTAAGGATCAGATTGGTAAATAAATAATCATATCAATAATATTTATGATGCTTTTCAAAACGTCAAATACATCAGTCTTTCTCTTACTCCGTATGATGTACCGCAATGTGATGATTTATCCAGATACAGAGTGCTTTTTTAAATATACTCTAATAAACACGAAGCACCGAGTACACTTATGTGTAAATCTCTCTTGGTGTACAAATGTTTACATAATACTTCACCGGAAGTGGAACGTAGGCTGTATATGATCTGCCCCAGAATACTTCATAATGAAAATACACAAAATCTACACATTACGTATGTCCATAGAGATATAGATTGAACAACATGTGTGGACACATCATTATTGATTGCTGCGTCATAACAACCATTGATCTGCGGAGAACAATGATTGACTCAAATAAAGTTAATTAACAAGTAATTCCTACAGTAGTTCTTCGACCACATCTGTTCGGTGTTGTGTAACAGTGAGTTTACAGGCCTAGATTTAAAATCCTTATTTTCAAATGAAGGAATTTATATTTTTCCAGATGATTGTTGGGATTTAGAACATCCCGAGAGAACTGAATTTTTAATTATTTTCTTTCAATAAATAAAGTAGTTCCTGATTATCGATTTGAAACAAAGAGAAATAAGTAATAAGTAATGCAAAATGTATATATCTCACAAACTATAATCAGAAAACATTAACATTAATATCTACGCAGTAGAAAATTGGTTTTTATTCACCTGTAGATGCTTTTTAATATTATAAACTATTACCAAAGGTCTATGTATAACACAAAATTATCAGTAATTTTTATATGAGCAACCAATGAGAAGATATTCAGTGAACATTGATCTCTGATTTTCCCCATGTAAGCTATCAATGTTCTCTTTGAGAAGGTAATCCTAGTATGAATAATTGTGTAGGAATGATGGATTACTTGTTCACTAAAATACGAACATATGTGATGTAATACGGATAACACATAAAACATTAATGGTGATAAGTATTGTAATTGCTGGTTGTTCAAATCTGTCAGGAAATTCTTTGAAAGAAACACTCAATATATCTGCTTAGCAAATTATAAATGTTGCTAAAATGATTAGACCATTGTATTTAATTAGTATTCACTAATTCACAAAACAAAATAAAATGAAATCTACCTAAAATGCTATTTGGTAGGATGTTTATTTCAAACTACAATGTCTGTTCTCGATAAAGTGTTATTAAAACTGCTGTCATACAAGCAAATTTAATTCACTCGGTAGTATATCTATATGTCTAGGGCAAACTGGGGTTCAAATTGCTTATAGTTTCACAATTTACTTTAACCATCATAGAGCTAGAATAAGATAGTTGATTTATTTTTTTCCACAAAATCTATGAAAATAAAGTATACTTAGAAACACGTTTTAGTAGTATACTTATTCCAAACTAAAATCTGTGTTCCGGATAAAGTGTAATTGAGTCTGCTGTTATACAGGCAAGTTTAATTCATTCGGTATATATGTGCAGCTGAATGTAAATACATGAAAGTAAAAATACATTTTAATATTAAATGTAGTTGCATCACCTGTAATCTCTACTTTTTAAAAACATGTTAAATGTGTACTTGTGAAGTTCTTAGTTCTCTATGATCAATAAACTGAGACTCGATCTTTTATTCAACTAACACAATCATTTTTCGAATTTTATTACCAGTCATTTAGCAAAATAGTTTATTAGGGCCTTCAGTATATGGTAGAAAATCAACCAACGGACTATTGTGAAATCTCAGTAGTAAGGCAAGAATTTACAGTGGTTTTAATAGCTCTCTGTTAGGACCCGAGAATCATAATGAATGGAAACATTTGGATCTTTTTATGGACCAATGCTAAACGTACATTTTTATCGTAAAATTGTCAAATAACTAAACTATGCATATTCATATTCCTATTATTATAAACTTTATTTTAACCCATAAACTATTTTTATACGTTTTATCATTCTTGAATTATACCCAGTATATTAAATTCTACCTCCCTCATTCACAGCTACATCCGGCTTGTTCTTGCAAAATGTTGTTTCATATTTTATTGGTACGTTGTGGTCTGTTTGATTGGTATATAAACTCAGTATGTTTGAAATATAATGATTCAGATTACAGAGGCTGAGATCGGCGTTCTGGACTTAACTGGCTGGACTAGGCTGAAAGCAGGACCAATCAGAACTCTTGGCTGCTCGCTTGTGTTTTACGCGTCACTGATCCGATCGATAAGTCACTGCCCTCTAATAAGCGGTCACAAGTTATAACGCTCTCACACAATCTTGATTTAATGTTTCTCTTCAGTGCATATCAAAGAAACCTGATCATTCGACAATGAGGTTGTAATCAGATTTTGGTGTGTACAGTCATCATCCACTTTCTTACTTTCTTGAATGAAATCCTATGAATCTGATAATATGGTTCGTTTAACAATTCACCTTTACATCATTATAATGAACCTGATTATTTTGTTCTATTGAGGCTTTCAGATTATAGTGGTGAACCCAGAGAGTATAATATCAATTTAATAGTTTAGACCAAATTTACATGTAGAGACGTGTTGACAATGTAGATGTGATGATGTACATGTGAAATTATGATTACATACAACTTAAAAATCCAATTCTATGCTGAAACACAATATATTCATAACTGCCTGGATTCTCTCTATAACTTAAACAATAAATAAATATAATGAAATGTGAAATTATTTTATGGCTTTAGCTGTGTCATTACATTACGCTGGTTTTCGATAAATAAGTTATTAGAATCTAACTTCTTATTGTTACAAAGAAGGGTTCATTGATTATTCAAATGATAACTTGAATGTTTCGAAGAACTACAACCTATTTCAGCAATCCTAATGTCTCGTTAATGATAAATTTAAAATTATTCTATTTTCACCATTATTCACCTTTTCCCAAAACTAAATAAGCCACAGAAACAGGTTTACACTGAAAGCCATATTCATGAAATCTGGATTGTAAAATATACGTAGCATTTGTATTTTATCAAGAAATTGAGTTATGTATACCGATGGACATGGAAGGTGATGATTTTAGTACAAGACTAATCTACCTACTCTTTAGAACTCATTCGCATATATAGCCAGCAAACCAGTTAATTTGTTTGACAAGAATATTAGTGTGATTCAGCACTGAGTCCGAGTCCCGCGGGGCAGGGTAGTGAATGCGCCATGCTGAGGAGTCACACAATAGGACAAAACAGCTGTCCAGTACTTTTAGGTTGTCTATGATGGTCTATCTTCATGATCTCAACTATTAAATTACTGTAATATCCACAAAAACCCTTTCTGATGGTAGCATTATGTATCTTAAGTGAATGATTTCAAATAAAATGAATCAATTTCAAAGGTTGGTGCAGAATAATATGAATTCATTTTATTTCGTTAGGTTCTCATCAGCTGCTTACAACCTAAAATATTTGAAATTTAACGTTATTATATATATTGACATTCTTATACATCAGTGTGTGATGAAGGATGAATATATGTAACAAAGATTTCGTTAGAGTTATTGAGGTAATAAAATTTTTGGTTCAAAAATATAGAGTTTGGGAGAGAGGGTTCCAGAACATTGAAATAGTGATTAGAAATTATGGAATTAAAACACATCAGATTATTATGCAATTAAGTAACTGCAAATAGATTAGTGGTAATAAAGAGAGATATGAATTGAAATTGGTCAGTTACGCATGATGTAATTATAAAATTCAGAAAGAGTTGGAATGAAATAATAAATAAAGGAGGGGGGAATTGTTACCAGGGCAAAGAAAGATTTATTACTGCTTCTTTTTATATAAAAAGATCTGGTTTTAAACGTTTGATTGCTATCGCTTCAGCGAATTTCAAAAGGTTTGAATTTGATTTTTTGTTGATAACCTTGAAGGATTTCAGTAAATCGATTTCGTATCATGTGTCAAAGAGATGTCTCGCGATAGCGCTTCTGAATGCTTTTAGTCCGTTTGATCTCAAACCCTTTGGAATATGTTCTTTGACTCGGATGTAGGCTCTCCTTTCTGTTCTACCAATGTAACTGCTTTGGCACATACATAAATTTGTATACACGTAGGTGGTAACATGAAAGGGATACCTGTCAACCTTTGATTGTGTCAAAGAACATGTCGTTTTGGACGACAATCATTCAGCTGCAGGATATGTTTTTGTTAATGCAGTTCTTAATCTCATATTGATTGACCCTGTGACATTATCACCTTGAAGTTGATTTGAATAAAAACAGGTTTTTTATTTACTGTAGTTTCTTTGGATATTTATCTCCACGTTTTCCATATCAATTTCTCAACGATCATCGATAGTCAATCTGTCGTACTTACTTTTTCTATAATCTAGAGATGAGCAAATTACGAACAAGAGCTTACTCGACTTAGGGCAACTATATACAAATTCTAGTGACATTCTGTGATGGATCTTCAAGTGAACACAGTCAAGATAAATGTATTAAGCTCAGATTTGCCAAAATCTTTCGATCAAGTAAGTGATGAAATATATCGCAAAACTCACTATTTGGATCAAAACTGAACAGCATTTTTTGAGAATTCGAAGAATCGAAATTTTAACAGAATTAGAATTAAGACATAATGAATGTCAAATGGTACAATCATAAAATGTACTCTGTATAGTTCCATCCATTTTACCGTAAACAACGACTACCACACTATTCTTATCAATATAAGCTACTTTAAAATAGTAACATTTTCTTATAGAATATTCGTACGTTGACAGATATGGTAATATCTACCAGTCGAAAGTGAAATGCCTGGTAGCAGGAGATCCGATGAAAGAAGGAGGAAATCTGAAAGCAATAAAAGTGTAAAGACAACACAAAAGATAAGCAAATGATTTCTAGAAAACACTGTATTATACATCAAACAATAAATTGATTAGCGATACCAAATCAATCTTTCACAACATTCTTGAGTTTTCTTCGCGCATGATGTATTGTCAGAGATTGAGCATCTTTTCTTTAGAGATTAAATTAGATATAGCAGAAAATATTATGACACATGTGATCTATCACTAAAATTATATTCACTCTATTATATACTAAATTCCAGGGGCGGTCAAAAGATTTGTCAAAAAATGACTTCATTAAAGGTAATTGAATAATCAATGTAGAAACAAATAACAATACTTTAACAAAACTACTATTATTATCAAAAGTGGTTCTGTGGATATGATAGTAAGTTTTTTAGTTGGGATTATGAGTGGATAACTATTTCGTCCTGCTGCGGGACTCCTCAGCAGTGCGCATCCACGATCCCGCCTCGCGATATTCCAACACAGGATCTATGGGTATCACGCGCGGACGCTTAGCCTCTGGACCACTGAACTTGCCAGCATTCAACGGTGTTCATGTCTAGTTTCAACCGATCCACGAAATCGCGAGACCATCTTTCATTATACTGAGGTAGATACCTGTCTCTACCTGACACGGATTAGCTCCACTGGTCACGACTTCTCACTAGGACTGCATTGTCAGTTATGGAGCACGTTTTAAGTGCACATACTGTCACTAAGCACCTTATGAAATTTGTGATAAATAGGACCAATCAACTGTATATCACTTTCTTCTAATAAAAAAGGATTAGAGCGCAAAACTTTGCATATATTTAGTGTAGTGTGGCGTTTTGATAAAATTAGTAGTTAGTCAAGAAAATCAGTGGTATAAATAAAAATATTTGGTAGTTCGATGTGTAATACCTCTTCATTTTACTCACTGGAATATACTCTGGAATAGTATAATAAATAAATTAAGCTATGAACATTAAAAAAAGAATATATTTGTAAAGTATCAGCGAATGAATTTTAAGTAAATCTAACGTTTCGCCTGGCAATCTGGCCCAAGCTTTTTCAAGGAAAATATAATCAAATAACAAAATTATCGAATAAAATAGTACACGATTCTACGGTTTACTGTATACTGAATAAGTCATCCAATCAACGTGAAGGATTTTTTAAATAGGCGCCCAAATATTGTGAAACTATTCGTTCAAATTTAGACGAAAGTTCTTATTTATTATACTATGAACAGTTCTGTCATTGTAATTTATAGCTTGTTTTGGTTGACAGTTGAGAGAAAAATGCAATATTTCCATTAATTGGTATTGTTCAGTGTTTATAATACCGAAAGTGAAATAAACCTAAACTTGATATTCAACAGAAATTGCAAAATAATTGAAAAATATGTGCTAGAATTCTTAATTTCTGCATTATAAGTTGTGTTCTTTTAAAATGTTGACAGTGTTGTTGTTGGGGATATCCAGAATACTCTTCGTAAAAAGCCAATAAACGCTCTGAAAACACTGAGAAGCATCTTATCCAATAAGCGTTCTTTAGAAGTTTTGCTAGGAACATCAAGAAAGTGAAAGCTCATATGTCGAGTTTCTGATTGGATGATTACTTATACTGCTACTATGTTAAGTAGCATTCCGGAATTTTCGGGAAACCCAAGGACATGTAAAACACTATAAAAACCCTATATTTTATGTACAAAAACAAACCACTGCAGTAAAGTGTTTCTTACATATTCCGCGCCTTTTCTCTCGTGTTCAAGTCGATATATAGTTCTAACCTGGGGGTTGCTAGAAGAACTTAGGAACCAAATTTCGCGTTCAATTAGCAAGACTTATCAATCATCACGACAACAAGTAAATGTGAGAATGTGTATGTTTTAAAACAGATAACCAATATTTTACAGAATATATTGCGCACACTTTTTCACGTAAACATGTTTAAATATCGCTTGTTTGATAGATAATTTAAAACATAGAGTTATATATATTCATTAATCTTTGTTCTTTAGGAACTCTGGATATGGTCTTAAAGCTGCATTGAGGTGTGTTAACAATCTCGATAGAACTAACTTATTCTATGTTCTATAGGAACTGGATATTCGGGTTACCTGTTTTGAATATCCTTGTTTACACTATTACTGATACTACAGTACACATTGAACTTTGGAGGCCCATGGATCTGACTCCTATTTGGATCGTATGGATGTTTGCTATCGCTTATTCTCGTATATCATCGACTACTTGAATCGCGTTAGTCAATAACAGAATTAAATAAGTCAAATAACGAGAATTGACTTGTGAATACATATATTTTGCATATGAAACGAATGAAACAGAAAGCAAAATGACACGTATGGAAGATGGCTGGGAAGCCAACTTCATTTTAGCCAAGCGTTATTCAGTATTATAGTCAGACAAAATAAAGCTACAAACAGTGATTAATGGAATAAGAAGGGCACCAATACGCTCATATAAAAATAGTCTAGGTTGATAAGCGAATAAATAACAAGGTCAAGTATGGCTCGAGTAGAATGAATAAAGTGGGATGTCCGGAAGCTACAATAAGATATATGGACTTGCCATAATAACTACAAACCTTCCTTGTTGTGAATACTACTATAAGTGAAAATATTTAAAATTTGTCGTAATATTTTATCAAAACGCATCTTCAACTTTATGTTACTTGAATCGCTTGTGAATGTTAGTACTTATTGTGATTGCCACATTGGAGTGACAGAAAATATGCAAAATACGTGCGTGCAAACTAGGATTCTCATATTGATCGTACCAGCAATCATCAGTTAACTACTTCGTTATCCTTTGTTCAACCGATGACAATAACCCAGTTGGTTGAGGTTACAAGTTTTAGCTAGTTTATGTGATGTATGTCGTGGTTTAAGAGGTGGAGCATTTGTATATGAAGTGTTCGCTTATACACTTCATGGATACCCCGAAGTAACGTTGATTATGTGACATTTGATGTCAAGTATTGTGTTCAGTTTGTTGTATTTTATTAATCAATGGACTTATCGTGGTCATCTGAACAATCCATATCAAGAATTGTTTGTTGAAGCCTGTACGTCAGTGGAAATATGTCGTTTGTCATGTGACAAATATAACTTACGATGGTGTAATAGGATTCCATGATTTAACATTTCAAACCATGCTAATAAAATTCTTGTCATAAGTAATTCGATCAGCTTTTTCATTCATGTTTGTGTAAAAAGCGGAGCATTAAAAATCGTGAATTTATCCATCCTACACGTTCAGAAATCATTAAATCAATGTCGCAGCAAGACTTGGATCAATCATTTGGTGAAATGATATCTACTTTATGTAAACGAACTGGTCAACATTTATTAGAAACATTGATAGGATGTTATAATTGTTTACATCAATTAAGGGCTGCAAGACAATTTTCACTCTTAGAAAAAGGGGATTTTATTCAACATGTTATGGATTGGTTAGATTCCAATTTAAATAAATCGTGTGTACAAATACTAATTAGTCGATTAAGTGGTATGTCGAAGACAACTATACGCGATTCTAATACACAGTATGAGCAAGCGCAAATCCATCAACGTTCAGAAGTTCATTTTCTAGATATACCGGTAGGACAAGATACTCACTGGATTACCATGTCGATGGTGCATTGGCTACAATATTTACTGATAGTTATCGTTTTACGTGTTCGTTTTTGTTTATTTTTCCTTGACTTGTCAAATGTATGGAATTTACATTAAACAAATCATGGAAACAATGGTTATGTGCAACAAGTTTAGGTTATGACGTTAAAGATGATTTATCATTAGCATTACATTTATTACCATTATTCGGTGCTGAAATATGAAAAATTGTTCAACAACTGCAATATTACACTAGTTTAGGAGTTTAAAAAATATGTCTGGGAAAATCATGTTAAGCGAGTACATTCCACTGAAGATTCAGGTAACGTTATTAGAGCTTATCAAGCATTCTCATAAAATGTATTTACAAGATGTCTATTAGATGCTGAATCATGTCAACTTCCTGGTCAATTACGAGCGATACTTAATTCAATCTTAGAGTATTCTCAGCTACACCAGGATTTTAACTGCTATGCATGAGAATGGTAAACATGAAAAATATGCACCAGAGACGTACGTAAGATTTGCATGTTAGAAGTAATGGATGATTGAGTAGTAGAGTGTAGAATGACTTCCCAGAGTAACTGAGACTACAGCGAATTCCACTATTGTCATCTCTGAACTTGATCACGCAATGTCTAATCAGTACGAATAAAAAATGACATGTTGACCTGTTTTACATTTTCTGTCCTTATTCACTTCACATCCACTCTTTTGCTCATTGTTTTATACTACTTATTTATATTCAGTAAATAGTTGTGTTACCAGCATTTTCTACGCTCATGTTACAACGCAAGTTGGTCGTGTAGTATTCTGAAATGTTTACATAAACTAAGAACTTAGAATGTAGTACTACCAGACACATTTGTGGAAATACGAATGGAGTGCTTAACTCTAAGCAGCTCCCACTCTGTCAAGCAAATACAAACTCTTTCGTTATGACCGAAACTCTAACCAAAGAGGGGTTGTCTAACATATATCGAGGACTACGAAACCAGAAATGCTCATGGATATTGATTACAGTAGACCCTTAAGACTGACGAACTATAGTAGAATGTTTGAACGCAGCTCCGAACACTCTTAGTTTAACAAACTCTACAATGTGTATCATTTTCAAAAACCGTCACATTCTATTTCAACTATGAAATAAACTGTAGTAATTTCAGCTTCTCAGGTACTAAGTGGCACGCACAGTCGTCTACTATGGTTTGAAAAGATGTTTGGGTGCTTAGATACATGTCTGGATTTAGAATGTTTATTTGCCCACACACAACTACAGCACGGTCGACTAAATATTTTGTCACAAAGTCCCATCGACATTTATAATGGTCGGTGGATGTTTAGTAAGAGCGACCGTAAAATAAATTTATACACACTAACCAGTTTTGAAAAGTTCAGTAAATACAAAACGAATATGCCCACCCCATGCAAGCACTGACTAGCGTTATTTCGGCAAAAGTGATATATGTATTCAAAGTCCATTCTCGTTATTTGACTTATTTAATTCCGTTATTGACTAATCTGATTTAAGTCGATGATTATATACGAGGATAGGCGACATATAAGTTCCAATAACGATCATTCATTACGATCTCCTTGGGTCAGTTCTCGGGCCACTAAGCTACCGTTAATCAGCAATAGATTCTATTAAACCCATTTAAAGGGTATGATAATAACAACTTCTTGCATTACCGAATTATCGGTAACGAGCTATGGAATCTAGTGCTTGTTTTTGGTTATCAAAAGATTTCTGTCCTGCTTCAACTATACTCTCTACTTGAGCATACAAAAGTCAAAATGAAAAGCAATAAGTCGAGGAATATGTAGCTTTGAAACTCATTTAAATCCTAAAATCTCTGTTGTCTGTAGGAAATGTCGTTTGTAAACTGCTGGGTGAGTATCTTTAACAATGAGAATATATTTCATGCTCTGCGTATCAGTCTTAAATAGATTAGCGAGAATAATCTCAGTTGTAATAATATCTAACTCAGGATTATTATCACTGTCAATAAACCATCAAGCTGAACTCAAGCTCAGGTGTTCACGACTTCTCATCAGTTATCTATGGAGAGATAGAACCGTTAATTCTAAAACAGCTACTCAAAATATTTAACCTATACTTAGAAGCAAGAACATACCCAGAAAAATTAAAGTAACATACTTAGTCCCTAAATATAAACCAGAACCTTGAAACTTAGTCCAGAATTATAAACTAACAAATATCACTCCAGCCATTTAACGAATAATGAAAGCAATGATAAAAGATCAAATATCCGACCACCTACTATCTGTACGCCAACTTGAATCATTAATTTGTTGCTCTTCCTTTTCCGATTCGCGCCTCCACTTCTGCATCAGACCTATGATTCTGCCCAAACATGTTCAATGATATCTCACAGTATAGTACAATATATTTAGACGCTACATCCTAGGACTCAAACTCCCAAGAAAAATAGGGCTTAGGACAGAACTGACGGGTTACGTATTTTAGTATACTGAACTTCCTCATAGTCAAACTTAATACCTGTATGTTTGGTCTAAGTAGCCCTTTTCTCACGATCAGAAACTTGCTCATCAGGCAGCGGTATAACCACGGATCGATACTATAAATACACCTAGATTATGTAGTTTAAATCGGATTTAGGTAAACAAATCAACACAAACAGAAGCCTCACATAATTGTCTCTCAACATATCAATTGATTATATGTATTTTGTTCTTCAATTAGTTCACGAAGGCTGAATCTATCAGTAATGTTTTTATCATTCACTAGGTCCTACCTCCCATTTTGTTATTTTTCCGTTTACTTCGTAATTGAGTGCCAAATATTGGAGTTTTATAGTCATTAAGGATTTTACATCATTTAGGTAGAGCTATACGCAACTATCTGTTACAAACATGTTCGGTACCTCACAGTCAAAAAATAACAAACGAGAAATACAAACATATGTCAGAGGAAATCATTGGTGGCAAATACTTTTTAATATGAAATATTTACTGATTTAATGATCGCCAAATGTACTTAAGTATGTATATGATACACCTTTGAAGCATAGAAAACCGTCTCACAAATATCATTTGATTTTAAAACACTTAGAATAAAACTCACAATTCAGAACATTATGGTTGAGAAATAAAATACAAATCCATGTTTTATGCAGAAGAAAACCTATACAAATAATCTTTTTTCCGTGTCAACAATAAAATACATTTATTTAAATGTTTTGTTAAAATGCAAACAAAACATTCCTTTAGATTGATCACATTTAGACTGAATTCATTACTAATGTGTTACGATACTTAAATGTAAGTGTTCATTTTTCAGTAAAGCTTTATATATAATTTACTATTATTAGAATAGTTAAAGTGTTACATTGTTTTTTACTGATTTATATTGTCTTCGTAATGAAGACAGTATTATTGAACAGAATAAATAGATTGAAATATGTGCATAAGGTGTGAAAATTCGGATTTTAAAAGATCAACATCTCATTCTACCCGGTGATTCAACCCACAATTTAAGATTAAATAATCATGTGTTTATTGTTTAAGTGATTATGAATGCCACACAGATCTCATAAAAATCATGCTTACATCATTTGTTGACATTTTCACATTATTAAAGTCGAGTTTTTGCGTTGTGTTCATTTTTTAGATACCTCACATACAGATGTAAGTTATAATTAATATTGATGGTTTTCATATTATTTTTAGTCAAAATACAAGCGTTGGCTATACATTTGTACTGTAGTAGATTTCATTAGAATTAGATAGAAATAAGAATGTCACGTTTTCTAATATTTGTCATCAAATGATCTCAGTAATAATTCTAGTAGACACAAAGAAACGAAATGAATTGAAAAATTTGTTAGATGCCTATTATGATGGATTTCGTAACACAAACACTGAATTTACATTTCAAATGAAAAACCCAGTGCAATTGAAGATATTGGGAAGATTTCAAATACCACCAAAATAAAATGTTTCTCATCAAAACCCGTTTTCTTTTCCAATGCCTTATTATTTCATACATTCAAATTCTTCGAATTTTCCGATTCATTGAATTCTCAATAAGTAATAATGTCTTCTGTAGATGGAATCATAAAATAGTCATATATTTTCTATAAAACATGAAAGTCTATATTTATTGTTATTGAAGAAATGCATTTTGGTAAGTGTCAATCAACGACTAGATGTCTGATGAACAGACTTAACAGTAAAATACTGAATACATATTTCTCGTTTAATTTACTATTCGCTGTCAATCACTAATCTATTACATTGTCCTTGTGATTTCAAACGGAATTTCTATTCACTTAGATGAGATCGACAAGATCTTCAAAGCAACATAAACTTCTTGGAGAATTTATGATCGTTCCAGTTGATGCACTCTTACGTTTATCATACTTACTTACTTACTTACTTACGCCTGTTACTCCTCTTGAAGCAGCATAGGCCGCTCACCAGCATTCTCCATCCAACCCTGTCCTGGGCAATCCTTTCTAGCTCCTTCCAGTTGTAATTCATCCTTTTCATATCTGCTTCTATTATCCGACGTAGTGTGTTCATTGACGTTCCTCTTTTCCGCTTCCCTTCAGGATTCCAAGTCAGGGCTTGTATTGTGATGCAGTTCGATGATTCTATCGTCTTTTCCTAATTTCTTCTTCAGCTGGAAGCTAGTTTGTTCTCTCCTACAGACGTCTGTTGCTGATGGTATCCGGCCAACGGATGTTGAGTATTTCGCATAGAAAGCTATTAATAAATACTTGTACTTTCTTGATTGTGGTTGTTGTAGTTTTCCAAGTTTCAGCTCCATACAGTAGAACTGCCTTGACGTTCATATTGAAGATTCTCACTTTGATATTGGTTGAAAGTTGTTTTGAGTCCCATACGTTCTTCAATTGTAAGAATGCGGCCCTTGCTTTGCTAGTCCTCGCCTTTACGTCTACATCTGAATCCCCTTGTTCATCGATGATGCTCCCTAGGTATGTGAAGGACTCTACATCTTTCAGAGTGATTGGATTGGTGTTCTGCGCTTTGAATTTGAGGACCCTGGTTTTCCCTTTGTGTATGCTGAGGCCTACTGATGCAGAAGCTGCTGCTACACTGGCTGTCTTCATCTGCATCTGTTCGTGTGCGCGTGATAGGTCATCTGCGAATTCCAAATCGTTTAACTGGTTCTGAGCTGTCCATTGTATTCCATGTTTTCCTTCACATGTCGAGGTCTTCATAATCCAGTCGACCACCAGAAGAAAGGGAAACGGGAGAGAGTAAACAGCCTTGTCTTACTCTGGTCCTTACTTGGAATGCACCTGTCAGCTGTCCTCCATGCACGACCTTGCACTGTAGTCCGTCGTATGAGTTCCGGATAATATTGACAATTTTCTCAGGAACTTCGTAGTGTCGAATAAGTTTTCATAACGTTCTCCTATCTACACTGTCAAATGCCTTTTCATAATCAATGAAGTTGATGTATAGTGACGAGTTCCACTCAACTGATTGTTCGACGATGATCCGTAGTGTCGCAATATGGTCTGTGCACAATCTATCCTTACGGAGTCCAGCTTGTTGATCTCGAAGTTAGGCGTCTACTACATCCTTTATCCGGTTCAGCAACACTCTGTTGAAGACTTTCCCTGGTATTGACAGTAGTGTTACGCCTCTGTGGTTTTCACGTTTGCTCAGATCTCCTTTCTTTCAAATCTTGATGAGGTGTCCTTCTTTCCGGTCCGTCGGCACTTGTTCCTCCTCCCAACTCTTTTTGAATAGAAGATAAAGCAGGCTTGTGGTTGCTTCAACGTCTGATTTCAGTGCTTCAGCTGGTAAGTTGTCGGGTCCTGCTGCTTTCCCGTTCTTGATTTGTCTGACGGCCATTCTAATTTCTTCCGTCGTTGGTGGGTTGACATATATAGGAAGATCTATGTGTGCTGCTTCGATGTCCGGTGGATTCATTGGAGCCGGCCTATTTAGGAGTTCCTCGAAGTATTCCACCCATCTGCTACGCTGTTGTTGAATTTCGGTGATTGGCTTGCCTTCTTTGTCTTTGACCGGCCTCTCAGCTTTACTGTATTTCCCTGCTATTTTCTTCGTTGTTTCATATTTCCTTCTCTAGCAGCTTTTTCTGCCGTCGTCGCTAATTCTTCCACGTATTTCTTCCTGTCGGCTCCAATGCTCCTCTTCTCTTGCTTGTTTGTTTCTATGTATTCAGCTTGTGCTTGAACTTTCTCTGCTCGTGTTCGGCTGTTGTTTATTGCTGCCTTCTTGTTCTTCCTTTCTTTGATCTTGTCCTCTGTTTCTGTAGAGAGCCATTCCTTATGATGGTATTTCTTTAGACCGAGAACCTCTTGACACGTTGAAGTTAATGCTTCCTTGATGCTTTCCCAGTTGTCCTCCATAGTAGTTTCTTCTTCTTTCAGTAGATCTCGTAAGGCTTGTAACCTGTTGTTGAGAGCTATCTTGAATTCATTGAGTTTGACAGTATATCGAAGGAAGGCTGTATTGAACCTTTGTAGTGCTGTTTGTCCACTTTTCCAGTTCTTTTTTAGCTTCAGTTTTAAATTGACTACAACTAGGTGATGATCTGAAGCTATGCTAGCACTTCTCTTGGCTCTCACATCTTCCATTGTCTTTCGGAATTTTTTGTTGATGCAAATGTGCTCTATCTATGTCCAGCTTGAATCCAATGGGTTTCGCTGATTCCAGTACTGTCAAGTAGTATCTCCTCATTTCCGTTGCTATTTGACTGGTCTTCCCGGTTTTCCACATTGTCCGGACGTTCCATATACCTATGAAAAGTTTTGTCCTGGTTGTCAGAAAGGGCATCAGCTTCGTGACTTCCGAAGGAACTCGGCTTTCACCATGAGGCGTCATGACTCTTCTAAAGGAAGACCTTCTAACTCCCAGGGCAAAGATGAAATGGTTTGAATTATTTTTTCTGGTAAGCGTTTTTTTTAAGCGAGATAGTTTTCTAAGGGATGGGGACGCTAACCCCATGCCCAAACCTCCTCCTTTACCCGGGTATGGGACCGGCAGTAACCCAATAAGAGCTACAGGCGGAGTTCTTACGTTTGTCATGGATAATGATATTACTACCAAAATTCCTAAATTTACAAGCTCATGCAAAAGTCACTATTGACGATGATACTGGTTACATTGTCGATTCGCGAGGATTTATTAAATTATTTCATGGAATCAACTGTGTGCACAAAATCGCACCATTTACTTTCCAATACTACTTGACCCTCATTCATTCAGAGTACTTAGAGATTGGGGAATTAATGTTATACGCTTAGAATTCAACTGGGTTGCATTGAAACCACAGGAAGATGAAATCAGTCAACACTACTTGGATATCATTGAAAAGATTATCGACAATGCTGGATTACATGGAGTTTATGTTATCATTGATTTTCATCAAGATGGATTATCGAAACGTCTAGGTGCAATTGATGCTGTGCCTAATTGGGTTATGGATAAAATAGAGCCACCACCATATTTATTCCAATACCCTTGGCCACTAAAGAAAGATCCAGGTAAAAAGAACTGGTTTCTAACCTACGTCACATATGAGAGTGGACATGTATTTGAAAGTATATATAAAAATGTTTCAGGAATATGGAATTATTTCGCAGAATATTGGAGGATAACAACTAGTCGTTTCGGGAAGAAAGATAATGTTTTAGGTTATAATTTGATAAATGAACCGGCACCTGGAAATGTTTATAAAAATCCATTCCTTCTTTTGCCTATTAGGTTACCTGAAGTAAACATTTCGCTGTTCATAGTATTTTGTTGTATAATAAATAAATTCTGAAGAATTTTTCGTGATTGCTTTTAGCGTGTGACTCATTAGTACTGTTAATTGATTGTAGAATACATCCGCTCAATTAGGTAATTTCCAACTCACGTTTTGCCTGTTGCCATTTTGCTGAAACAGTTAACATAAAAATTCACTAGATTCGTTCTTCTTTATTATTTTTCGTTGTCTCCTCCTACGACTCAGATGTTCTAAGTTTCAATTAATTCACAAATTCAAGTTTCACTTCGCTTGGTTCTACTTAAGAATCTTCCATTGTGTTGATCATTTCAGTGAATAGTTACATCGGCTCAAAATCTCAAAACTATCCTTAATTGACTAAACCAGATAAATTCATTGCTGTCAGGTTACATCACTGGCGGTTTCGACTGTAACACAGATTACGTTGGTTTCAAAAGAAATTTGCTGATTGATACAAACATATAAAACGATCACTTTTACTTCATCTTGTCTTGAATTTCACGTCGCTTTGTTCTTGACATTGTTCCGATGTGAAAATATCTCTAATATTTTGCAACATGCCATTGTGACAATATCTCACTAACAAACAAAATTATCAGTTTAGAGTTGTGGAAACTGTGGAGATTCTATTGAAAACCTTGAATCACTGGATGACCATCTCGTCTTCAAACGTGATTCCTCAACAGTGCGCATCCCGCTTGCAGGACCATTGATGCTCACTGCTGAGAATTCAAAATTCAGGACCGAACGGCCTTCCAGTGCATCCAGGTAACCAATGGTGATCTGACATTGGTCGGTTCATTATCTCAATAAAAATGGAATCGCAAAACATAATTATGCAATCAATAAAATATTTACTAAAGCAATTAAACGAACATCTTATCAGCTTTAACCTGATTCATCCAGAAGCAGCATCTGGCGACTGCAGTATTGAATAACATATATCTGAATATTAGAAGGTAGATGACAAGCATAAAATTTATAATATCACAATGACAACTAACATCAAAAGGTGAACTTACAATGATCAAAACGATTTGTTGATTGTCTTTAGCTATTCAATATTTTGTTGGTGAAAATTAAGACCACATCTATAAATGGGCAAAAAATGATAGTAATATTGATCATAATGACAATCGTATTAAGAATAAAAAGATGTTATGTAGAACTATGTTACGTGTTTATAATTTCAGTCAGTGTGATTTCGGAATTCGCCATCTTCATTATTACGATTATCACTCATTCTGTCTGTTTTTCCACCGTGAATGTAATCAATAAAACAAACATCGAGATAAGATCCGCCAAAATTAATTGACTTACTCATTAACCTATACTATGCATGATGCCATGTCGGGCGATTGATTTGTTCACGTCGTTTAATCTCAGAAGAAGACTTACAAATGAGGAACATTTTGTAATTATTAGAAGAGAATTGATTTCCCTTTTATTGATATTCTTAACTTGAATACAAACACGAAGGCTTAGATGTAAGATGACCCATTTAATAAGTCCCCAATAAAATTGAACGAGCGTCGTGAATTTCATTACTTACCACAATCTATCTTCCCGAAAACATTCTTTCCACAACAAATATGTTTATTTTTGTCAACTTCCACTTATATTCATCCTCAAAATCTATTTCAATTATTACAATTCCGATCTTTTTCATTTTATATTCGGACAGATAATGCAGGTCCCAATCTCTTATCATTTTATGATTATTTGGTGAATGTTATTCGCCAATCTGACAAAGATACATTGATATTTTACGAGAGTGTAACTTATGGAATATATTTTCCATCTGTTAATGGACTACCTGGTACTGGTATCCGACGTGTTCCCGGTCTATTACAAGATGAGATGGCCAGAAAGAAGAGTGTATTATCTTATCATTACTACTGTTGGTTATTGGAATCGACACTATCTACAAAGAATATGCCATCATGGAAACGATATTTGTGTGATAAAGTGAGAGTTCAATTACCTGGTTAATTGTTTGTAACGCATACGCATTCTAATGTCTCGATGCTTTAATATCAACATTAACCGACTGATATTTTTTTACCATAAGCTAACTGGCTTTCATTTTATTCGTAACTTGATAACCAGACTTGTCTGTAAAATTTTGAAATCTGTTGTCACTCCTAATAATATTTTCTAAATAAATAAATGATTGGATCTATATTCAGAACAGCTTCATTCAATCAAGTTAAACGTCGAAGGACTGCTGACCGAGACCATTTTCATAATAAATGCTATTTACATTTCACACAATATCCTGACGTTAACCAGGCAACTATTCACTACTCTGTAGGGAGTGCTCACAACCCTACCAGAAATCAAACTTAAAGTATTAATATGTCTTAGCGAGTGAGTTTTCAGATCAGGACTTTAGCATTCGATGATTGTCATTTTAGCTTCAGTCAGCTGAATTCCTTGCGTTATTGTCAAGCCTAAGATTTAATAATTTGAACAAATTTCATATATGACATCGCAAAACCAACTCAACAGTGATAGTTGATGAGTTGTATTTGATCTCACAGGTCTACATTTTCATTTCCTACCTTCAGGGATGAAAGTTTGCGCATAACATTTGTCGTAATTGTGGGTGAATATTTCTGAGGTGTTCCGTTATAGGACAAAACACTCATATAAATACTTCTGTTTTTAAGCAATATATTCACTGTTGCTGATTCTCTGTGAAAACCGATCCGCTCACAATATATAGATTGGATACCAAACATAGAAATAATAATAATAATAATTAAAATAATAACAACGATGAAAACAACACCAAAACATTCATATACTTCAAAATTTATTTACTTAGAATTGATTGAAACACTTTCATTAACTAGCTCATATTTATCAATTACCAATCACCGAATCATTTATTTTCACCATGGAAATACTCTCAGTAAACAATATGATGAATAACTTTGCAAAATTGTTAGAACCATAGTGTACTTTGTAATTGATTAAAACAAGTTAAATAAGATGAGAGCTTTCTACATTCCTTCTATAATGGAACACTAATTATGTTCTATGAATCATCCTGACTAGCAAAAGATATAGTAATGGGTGTGTCTGAAGTTGGGCGTAGATGAGTAAACAACAATGACGAATAATTCTATACAGCAATGATAAGTATGGATTCTGTCATCTTTGTATTCTTGAGATATAGTGAATTAGCCAAAACCACCTATAAACTAACAGTGGAAGTGTAAATAGAAGCATTGAATTAATATGTATTTTGTGTTATCTCTCAAAGTTAAATCAGTTATTTTGTGGCCATGATTAAACTCAGTCATTTATTGAAACCCATTCATAAGCACGTAGGATTTTGCACGCAAATGTACACATGTTCTGTGTTGACACAATGTCCAGTTTATGAAGTAAAGTGAAATTCTTATCCGATTATTACATCGATAGATGCAAGGGGAAGTGCAATTCTATTCTGTCATTCGCACCAACTTGTATGACATTGATTGTAAAAATAAAATTGACAAATAAGTTATTTTGTTTGCTTCGAGCACCCATTTGCGGACTGCACATACAGAATGTATGATGTTAGACAAAACAGTGAGTATTTCATTTAAAACACAAATTGTAGTTGCAACTGATATGGATAAATGTTTAATGTCTCCTTAATAAATGATGAACTGATTGGGGTGAACAAAACACCAGAAAACAAACTGAACTTAATTAAAGTACTGTAGAGTGATCTAGAAACGAAAATCTAAACACTACGATTTGACATGAAAACTGTAATTAATAGTAATAGGTGCTAATCAGTTTATAAAATAAATGTTTGATGATTGAATGAACTGACATGATGTGATTTCATGAATACACTAACAGTCAATGTATTCAAACCGTCCTTCATACTGTGTGGAATTTAGTAACTGATTTTATTCTTTATATATTTGTGGTGATTGATGAGTTTATAATATCCATTTTGGACAGTACCATGATTATAAATTTACGAAATAAATGGTATTTCCCATAGTCGTATTGTCATAGGCGAGAACTCAGCTGGGGAAAGACAATTTGTTGTTCGGTGCTCAATCACACAGTAACTTTGCAAGATATAGAAATCACACATATATAACATTTACACATCTTTGCGTTCTCCTATACATAATCCATTATTCATCTAATCCTGTTGTTATTTCGTTAAATTATTTGCCTCCCTCGTTTGCTTGGCTTTGGATAACCTCGGAAAACTCCATTATAAGGCATTATCAGACTTTCGTTCACCGCCAGCATAACACGATCATCAGCTGTGCTTAGTGAATGTGTTTCTATCATCAGGTTACGATAACCCATCTCTTGAAAACAATTCGAGAAAGTTTGTCATTATTAATAACACCCAAGTGACCAAAGCGCAGTAAAACAACAGCTGACACGAAGAATTCAGTTCGCTTCTCATGAACTTTTTTCAATGTTATGTATTATAGAGTTCTGAGGTAAGCTTATGAACAAAAATATGTGATGGAAAATCAACAGCTGACTCCATTTCAGTGGTGATATTAATTTAAGAAGAGTGATTTTACACTGTCTTCGAATTGAATAACTAGCATATGTATTTCAAATTAATGCAGTAGCTTGTTTCATTTCGTTGCATATTGGTTATAAAATTAAGGGTTTATGTTATCTTATTCACCATGCAGTTGAAATCATTCAGTCGTACATATCCACAATCAACTGCCGGTCAACCTGTCAAACTGAGATTCGATGTCGATTCAGGTGTGTTTTATTATGTTTTTGTACCCACACAGAAGTATTGTACAAACGTGGACGCAGCATTGTTAGTTGCAGAGATTTTTGTTCCAATGTCGATTCATTATCCATATGGATTGAGAACTCGTTTTGTACCAGAACAATTATATTATAAAATGTATGAAAATAATACTAATTTAATGTTTGTCTATGCACCATGTACGTTGATCAACACAAATATTGAACTTATGGAAATAACGATCATACCAAACCAAACACAAGATAAGCATTCAGACAACAATTATAGTCATTTACCAACTTATTCGAAATCTGTATCAATATTGTTAATTGTGAACTCCTTGATATTTTCACATCTTTCAACATATTTTGTCTAAAATAAAGAAATATTACATGATAAAATTTGAATCATTACTGTAATACACCTAGACTACAATAAACTGCATGCGTTGCGTCAAATAACACATTAATCATTATGTTCATTGACTAATCACATATTACATTTATGACTGAATCGTAAGAAATTGTGAAAAAGCAGACTTTCAATGTTTTCCAATTCCAAGTGAATGTCATTACATTTACGTTCAAATGATTATGACGTACAGTTTAATTCTTTAGAAAATTTCAAATACCACAAAAATAAAATGTTTCTCATCAAAACCCATTTTCGCTTCCAATGCCTTAATATTCTATATAGTTGACATGTTTCAAATTTCCCTATTCATTAAATTCTCAATTGGCAATGTGGTATTCTGTAGATGTGATCATAAATAGTCATATATTTTCTATAAAACATAAAAGTCTGTATATATTGTTGTTCCAAAAAATGCATATGTGGTAATGATATGTGTTAATCAACGACTAGATTGATAAGTTAAATTCTTTATCAAGTCGTAACACAAGATTCAGTTCATCAATTTTTTATTGTTATAGAAATATAAGACGTGGTTATATTTCTTCTCATAAGCACTTGATTCATCCAAACAGCAAGAATATAGCTACGCATACAATACCCACCTATTGCCACTCGTAACTCACGGTAGAAGATGAAAGTAATTGTTAACCGTACTGAAGCATCAAATCACTCAATTGATATACGCGCAAAATCGAAGTTCACGAATCAACGATTTATCAGAGATGGCGGTTCTTTATTGAATAATGTACGAACATTAGTTACACACCTTAACTTGTGAGGTGTCTGAGGCATTTACCATGTCCTTTTGTCTGAAATAAGAAGGCTTTGATAGTGCAAAAGTGACAGCCGTTGGCTGTGTCGAAACTTCATAAAAGTTTATTATCAAGCAGAAACTGAACTAAAAGCAAGTGATATGGAAACTGCTGCGTTTAAACAAGGGTTAAACGACCTGCGAGAAATTGCGAACAAGTGATACAATGATTGATATAAAGTAATTATAAAGATGAATACAATAAATGTTATAAGAATATGTAAATATTTGACAGTATTACACGACCAACTTGCGTTACAACATGAGCGTAGAAATTGCTAGGAATACTTCTATTTACTAAATGTTATTAAGTACTGAAAAGTAATACACAAAAGAGTCGAAATGCAGTGAAGCGAATAAGGACAGAGAACTTAAGATAGAATTAACAGAAACAGTTTATTCAAAGTAAACATACTTTTTATTTCTTAACTTATATGAGATAGAACGATTCACCTTTTGAAACAAATTATACCATCAAATAATAACTTTCGTCTAAATTTGGACGAATAATTTGACAGTATTTGGGGGCAAGTTAATTTCTAAATGAACCAGGTTTTGACTTGTCTGCTCTTTATCAGCCTTTCCACTAAAATTATCATCTTAAATCTCAATGAAAATAAATAACGTCAATACGCACATCAGTGTGCATATTTTCACTTTTAGAAGCGCACGTTTTTGTGATAAACTAATACAGAAATATGTTTCAAGAGTATTGTGGTAACTTCATGTCGTATCACCTTTGCAATAAGTTTACATTACAAGATCGGCATGTCATTCAAATAGTTTACAAATTTCTTTTACATCAAGGTCAATTTAATAAATATCATTAAATATTATTTTTCTGCAGGAATCAGTAATCAATTTTCCGAATGTATTTCAAGGAATGAAAGTAGCTCAAAGTATTCAATCAGTCAGATGGTTTTCAATCCACTTTCTTTGTTCACATATTGCTGAGATAGTTAGTATTAGAAGCAATCAAGTTCTCACTATTTGTTTTCTATGAATTCTTCCCCTAAGTCAAATGTTCAGGTTTTAGCTAAACTATGGAGTGAAATGTTATTCAGAAAAGTTAACGTTTAATTATAACAATTATTTACAACATATTTTTAACCTGGATTTTAGTAATTAGACAAAAATTCAGCAACAGTCATACCCATTAAAATTGATGGAATATGATTAAGGTTTTATTAAAAATGAAGTCATTCAAAACTAATTAAGATGATTTTGGAAGTAAAAGGTAGACCATTTTCTCAACATTCAGCGTAGGCATATATCGGTTTTTTAGGCAAACTCGAAGAGAAAATAGATGTTTGAATTCGGTGAAATTGCAAATTCGTGGCGAAACCGAAAAAGAAATGAGAAAAAGGATCAAGAATTTGAATGGAACTAGAAAAGTTGACGCTGGACAAAGTGGGTTGGAGAATGGTGGTAGGTGGCCTATACCCCATTAGGAGTAACACGCGCAAGTAAGTAAATAGCTAAGTAATGGACAAGTTTAACAGTAGGATTCTGGACTTATATTGATAGAACTCTCTTAAGATAAAACCTAATAATCTTCGTAAATTAGATATTTTAGTGTTCGGAGCACTTTTGTCTAAGGGAGAATTTCGGTCTTGTGTTAATTAATGATTCAGTTTGGCGTACAAATAGTAGGTGGTCGGATATTTGATCTTTTATCATTGCTTTCATCATTCGTTAAATGGCTGGAGTGATATTTGTTAGTTTATAATTCTGGACTAAGTTTCAAGGCTCTGGTTTATATTTAGGGACTAAGTATGTTACTTTAATTTTTCTGGGTATGTTCTTGCTTCTAAGTATAGGTAAATATTTTGAGTAGCTGTTTTAGAATTAACGGTTCTATCTCTCCATAGATAGCTGATGAGAAGTCGTGAACACCTGAGCTTGAGTTCAGCTTGATGGTTTATTGACAGTGATAATAATCCTGAGTTAGATATTATTACAACTGAGATTATTCTCGCTAATCTATTTAAGACTGATACGCAGAGCATGAATATATTCTCATTGTTAAAGATACTCACCCAGCAGTTTACAAACGACATTTCCTACAGACAACAGAGATTTTAGGATTTAAATGAGTTTCAAAGCTACATATTCCTCGACTTATTGCTTTTCATTTTGACTTTTGTATGCTCAAGTAGAGAGTATATTTGAAGCAGGACAGAAATCTTTTGATAACCAATAAACAAGCACTAGATTCCATAGCTCGTTACCGATAATTCGGTAATGCAAGATGTTGTTATTATCATACCCTTTAAGTGGGTTTAATAGAATCCATTGCTGATATAATGGTAGTTTAGTGGCCCGAGAACTGACTCCAAGGAGATCGTAATGAATGATCGTTATTGGAACTTATATGTCGCTTATCCTCGTATATAATCATCGACTTAAATCACGTAAGTCAATATCGGAATTAAATAAATCAAATAACGAGAATGGACTTTTGAAAACATCGGTCCGATCGATGATTCACTGCTCTCTAATTGGAGGTATCATCACGTCATGCATTAACAAGGCACATAGGCCACAAGTTATGAGAAACTAAAGAATAAACTTGATTGACTCAGTTAACTCATTAGGCCAATTCATTGGACCAATAAATGACAGCTTCTATCTATGCAAGAGATGCTTAGACAAATTTCTCCTTATTTGTGATAAAAATTTTTATGTCAACGACATCCTAAACGCGTTCAATAACTGTCATCAATCAACTAGGCTCACGCGGTAATCAAAGTTGGATTCGGGATTCCACTTTTCAGATGTTTCGGTAAAAAGGAGACCTGACGGTTCCCTACAAAGATAGGAACATTGAAAACCGATATAAAATGGTCAATACACGAATTTCATTGTTGGGTCCCACTGTAGCTAGAGATACCTAATCGTTTCTCTCGGTTTGACGGCTAGATGCACCTGTAACGATGGTACAATCGATAACAATCTTGATAAACTACCGCAGACACTGATCAACAATGGATATCTATTAGATTCATTGAGGAAAAACCGAAGCTAAAACAACAACGAGTAAGAGTGTCCACAGCACCAAAGAAGACTCTTTTCATGAACATGTAGCTTTAGGGAGACACTGCATTAGAAATTCTGGAAACGGACTTTTAGATCTCTGAGAGAAAAGTTCTGTGCGACTGAACGTCTCATTATCTTTCTAATCCGCTTATGATTCGAAGTTTTGTGAAGGATATATTCCCACTTTGGGCGAAATCAATGTGCATCTATCAGTTTGCTTGCTCATGTGAAGTACACCACAGAATTTCCACAAGTCAATGATTCATATCAATTGACAAAAATATACAAATTACGACAAATTCAATTTATTTTTACATATACGTCAGGTCAAAGGTAATCTGCGATCTTACAAACCGTTCTAGAAATAATGAAAAGTCTGTCGGTTGATATATTATTATGAAACTCTTTTCTGAAAACCTATGGACATGAATATTCCTACTTATTTTACATTCAGTTAAATGCATACTTTGCAAGTATTCATTCAGTTATGACTATGTTTACAAGAAAGGAATTCTACGGAACAATAAAGGAACAACTCACAGTAATTAACAATGATACAATAATTAGATCGGTGGAATTTTAGCTCACTAACTGAATGAAGTTATTAATTATTACTAATAAGTTTTCTTAAATATTAATCACCAGAAAAATCCATCTCCTTTGTTCAACTACCACCATAGACTATTTCCGAGATGTAGGCCACAAATCAATTCAAAAACAAGGTTTAAAGTGTATTTAAATTCAATGTAACCAAGTAATAACTCTTTGACAACAAATTTGTTATCATAAAATGTGATATTACACTTCACTCAATGTAATGATGTTATTTCAATACGTGAAGCTATTTATTGTTTTCAAAATGTGTAAATCTATTTTATAAAAAATCAGTATGCAACCAGACGATTTATTACTCAACATATCTGACTATCAGTCATTGTACAAAGAAAATACCTAACTTTCCTTGTTTAAGATCTGAATATGCTGTGTTGTGATGAATGTAAATAAGTGAAACAATTTTCATGTTTCATACATTCTGATCTCTTGTTGAATGAAATAAAAACGATAAGGGCAAGATATACACAATAACATGAATTCATTATATTTCAAGGGTT